ACCTTTATATATACACAAAATATCAGATAACCTCTATAATCTTTGCCTTCTATAGTATCTTCATTCTGCATTGCTAGAGGTGTTTCTAATTCTAGTAAGGCCAATCTTTTGCCACAGACCGTCCACATGTTTACTACTTTTCTCACTATTTTCAATTTTGGTTAGGGCAATATCATTTATCACCTGATTTTTTTTTATCAGAGGCTTACCCCCTCCCCTCTTACTATTGTCACGTAGATTAACAGTATATAGGGGTCTTCGTTCCCTTTGCTTTCTAATTCTACTCACTTGGCTTTCTACACAGGTTGGAGTATTATTCCAGATACTACCACCAATAGACTGCTATATCAACCACTCAGTTTATACCTTCGAGCCTTCTTTACTAAAGCCAAACTTCATTATTTTTATTATGCTAAATTTAAATACAAGATTATCACTGGATATATTATTACCCGAGTTACACGCATTATGCAATTCTACAATTAGACTTTAAATTAATATTACTGATCACGCCATCAACGTTACCCAGTCACGATTGGGTAACCCGTGATCATACCTAACCCTAGCAATACTGATACAAGGGGTGTTGGTCATCACCATGACAGGAGCTAGACCCCAGGAACTTCGTCCCGAAGTTGCAACCCATGCAAAACAATTTTAACACATCCAATTACAATACCCCACATTACTAGCAAATCCAATACTACCTAAATACACTAATAATACAATATATTGTTCAATTAACACATACACTAATACTAAAATTAATACATACACTAAAAAATTTTTTTTTTATTTTTTTTTATTAACATTTCAAACCCAAGCCCATGTCGATTTGATTTTCAAATATCGCATGCTCCACACTGTCGCAGCCGATTGTAGAATCCAAGTAGAGACGCTTGACAAATCCAACTTTCTTGACATGATCCAACACCTTCAATATCGAAGTTGTATTTACATCACAAGGCTTTTGCGCTTTGGGCATGTCACTTCTATCCCATCCGCGTTTGGCGTCACAATGGAATCTAGACAACAGTCCATTATTCAACCCCTTCCTCACTTCTATATCTCCAATTAGGCTTTCGACTACGTCACCAACTCGAGGTTTCTTCACATCCGAATTACTGCACAGTTCGTTTCAGCAACTCCATCGTCAGATCGTTTATCATCAGCTTTAAGTCGGCCACCACATCCAAGACTACTTTGTTCATTTAAATTATCACCTTCAGTATGTTTTGAATACCACTCAAATGCCTTATGGTTATTCATCACCCTTTCAAGATCACATTTTGTTCCATCTTCACCATCCATATTAGTGAATCTGCCTCCATCGGGCTCAACACCCTTTCATTTCGGTTACTATAACCAACATTAAACGTTCCTTCACCATGTCCAATATCAGCGGATTTTTGATAACGAATGAACGCCTCATGTTCATCCTTGTTGAATCTAATTTCATATTGGTAGCACAGTCTGAGATCATCTTGTGCTCTTGGATCAACTTCAGCAGATTTTCAATAACAGACACATGGCTTGATTTCATTCCTTTTAACTCCACTTTTATTTTGATGGCTATGGCCATTATTAATTGTTCCATCATCGTTTTTCATATCTTCAGATTTTTGATAATGGATGAATGTCTTGGGTTCATCCTTTCCGATTTCCTTTCTATTTTCATAGCAACAACCACTTATGTATGTTCTATCAACGTCACTCAATCCTGCTGGTTTCTGATAATAACCAAATGCTTTATTTTTATCTTTTTCAACTTCGTCCACATAACTGATCTCAAGACTATTACCTTTTGGATCTTCATTCATTATTCGAATGTCAGGTACATATTCTCCCTCCCTACTAATGTTCTCTTTATTCATCATACTAACGATCCTATTTTTCTTCCCATAATTGACACCATCGTCTTTCTTCATCGATCACCTTTCAAGATAGCGATTACCGGGCTTATTCTTTCTCCTATTTACCAGATAAGTTGGTTCATTGTTACGTCTTGAACGTTTATGTTTCCATGGGGCTTGATTATTCACTTCACTAGCATTCGCCACTTTCCCTACCAACTCCATATGCCGTATATCGACTACCATCTCTGGACTTTGGCTTTTTCGACTTGAACAAGCTTGGTCGTGGTCTGTATTGTTTCTTTTTTGTCCTTCGTTTCTTCAAAGTCTTTACCACTTCAACTACTAATCCGATCATACTTTCAACTAATGACATCAAACTGGTTTCACTTTCTATTTTCTTCGGCTTCACAACTTAGGTAACGATTAATTTTTTTTTTTTTTTTTTTTTTTTTTTTTTTTTTTTTTTTTTAACAGAAGCTGAACCTTGGCTTATGTTGCCGTTATTATTTGCAGGGTCCTTATACAAGCTCTTGACACGTCCAAGTAGGTAGGTATTTGCTTCGTTTCTACTTATTCACTATACTTTTCACTAACCAATCCTTTTGCTGGTTTTTTCACAACACTTGATCACGAACTCCCAACTTCGTAACGGCAACCGGGCACCTTAAGTTTAACAAATAGCACCTATTTCACACAGTACAGGTCCAATTTCAACGAAATTCAGCGAGCAGAACCTTCGTCTGCCCAGGTCCTTCTGTCACGTAGATTAACAGTATATAGGGGTCTTCGTTCCTTTTGCTTTCCAATTCCACTCGCTTGGCTTTCCACACAGGTTGGAGTATCGTTTCAGGTACTACCACCAATAGACTGCTATGTCGACCACTCAGTTTATACCTTCGAGCCTTCTTTACTAAAGCCAAACTTCGTTATTTTGATTATTATTAGATCACTAAATTTAAATACAAGATTATCGCTGGATATATTATTACCCAGGTTTAGAGTGGCCGGGAAAATGCGATGTGCAAATATGTACATATTTGGTCACGTTTTTATGTATATCATATGGGCACATATGTGCCGCTGTATTTTTTTAAAAACTTCCAGCGATAGTTTCTCAACGACTACTGGGTCAAATTCGGTAATTTTTTTTTTATTTTAATCCTATAAACTTGTAGAATGAAAATAA